CGAGGTGAGGGCACCTCAAGGGCCTCAGATGGACGGAAGTGAACCCAAAGGACCAGATAGAGTGTTTATGGTCAGTTATCTAGCGTTACAGAAGTGCTGCGGGTTTCAAACTAAGACAAGTAGTCATCTTCAAGGGTCCAATGCCATATAGCCTTCGGAGAACTTGCACAGAATCTCCCCAGCGATTATCTACAAAGTTCTATCCCAGTTTTGCTGGATATACTTCGTGATATCCCTTATATTGATTTCGATCCCAGTCTAAATTGGTCAGGTTAGTGGAGGTCTCTGCCGAAGTCTCAAATTGACCAGTATCGTTCTAGATTGGGCATTACCTGATCAACTCGTCTACTCAACGGTTAGCTCGCTGCTGCGTCTTGCAGAGAAAAGCTCCGGTGACAGACAGAGCATCGTTACGGGCATCGTAAAACTTGCGTCTGAAATCGTATCACAGATGCGGACAGAAACTCGTATTTAGCTCTCCATTGTCATTCGAATCTGCAGCTGACCCTCTTGCAGTGATCAATGTAGTCACACAGGCATACCCAGCGCTCCACGGTCTTTACCGTGCTTTGATCTCCACTCAGTTCAGGTGGACAATATCCGATTGGCTCGCCCTCTCAAATGTTATTTCGGATCTCCTTGAGGAAGACGTAATTGACCGGTTGAATTCTCTCGTGGCGGATATCGTGCAATTGAACGATGTAGACGCTCATCTCCCACAAACGGTCCTCTCTCGTTATATTCACAAGGACCGTCCACTCTCGGGGTATTTTGCCGTATGCTGCGTCATGGAAATCCAATGGACTGTTCTTGCTCAAACCTTGATACCTTGGGATGAAAAAACAAGCAAGTCAAAGGTTATTGACAAAGTCGAAGACGCAGCTGCCGCCAACGCAGCATGGGGTATCTTGGTATCCAAGAAAGTGGTCATTCAAGACCAATATTCGCAGGAAGCTTTAGATGGGCTCAAGCGGACCCGCGATCGTGCCATGGAGTGTTTCACGGATCTACTAGCGCAAATGGGGGAAATAGAGGGTGAACCATCTATGGATACTTATGCCTGGGAGACGATGGCTGAGTGCCTGGTATGCCAAAACCATTTCTCTGAATGATCAGCACCGAAGTCTGACTTTATCCTAAGAAAATTGCCTCAGTTTGTTCTGCTGCACTGCAAAATCTTGACAGTGCCCTATACTCTCGACTTAAGCTCTTACTCGGCGACACTTCACCAGTATATGATCCTTTTGTACAAGAAGCCGCACTAGAGGCCACAACGATGCTACTACGCAAGTAAGACTAATCAAATTTATAACGTTTGACTTGATTCTGAGATGGCTCCAGCTTCAAGTCCATTGCACCAGCTATGATCAGTCATCTACGCCGCTTTGTCGCGACACCTCTATCTATCTTTCAATTCGAATTTGCCTCTGATCAGCAAATGCCCCCGGTGCTATTGGCAACCGCAAATTGTCTCGCTCTCAGCATAAAGGTTGGTACTTCTTTACTATATTCTTGCTTAGGCTGACGAGCTTTAGCTGGCCCCTGGTGACGACCTTGTTATGTCCACCATGTATTCTCTCTTGAACTATATCGCAGCTTCAAGTAAAAGCTCGGAAGGGGCAAAAATGATTGGCTCGTCGCCTTATATGAATGATGGAGATGTTGCCACGAACGCTTATGTGGAAACTGGATTGAGGTCGTTCACAGATGAGGAAAAGCGACTTGTAGCAATCAGTACGGTGTGTGTGGTATCGGTCTTAGCCAGGGAATTCGACATCGAAGAGGTATAAATCCTTATTGAGCCTCAGATCTCATCACTGAATATCTTATAGGTCACCCGGTTGACTATCTCAATGCTTTTACAATACCTTCGCTCAGCTGAGACTTCAGTTGAATCTGCAATTGCATGGAACTTGGTGAACATAGCCTCAATCGCTCCCCAATCGTCCTTTGTGGACATCATACGTGCCTTCTCCACGATAAATAGATTGGAAAAGGCTGAGACTGA